TAATATAAAATCCATAATTAATTGTTTTTACTTTAGCTTTAGACAATCAATTATCTTTATGAGTAGTTAAAAATAAGGATAAAGCCTGGCCTGTGTGACTCAGTGGGTTGAGCATCTCCCTATGCACCAAGAGGTAATAGGTTTGATTCCCAGTCAGGACACATGCCTGGGTTGCAGGCTGTGCAGGAGGCAGCCAATCTACGTTTCTCTCTCATCAATGTTTCTATCTCTCCCTTCCTCTTTCTCTCTAAAATAAACCAAAAAATCTTATTAAAAAAATAAGGATAAATACATTTTATATTTACTTTTCTTTTTATGATTTCTGGAACTATTTATTTCTTTGTACAGTTTCAAGTTTCTCTTTGGTAACGGTTTCTATACAAACTTCCTTTACCATTCCTTATAGTGAGTGTTGGCACACAATTCATTCTACCAAGCATTTTGTCTGAAAGTCTTTATATTGTTTGCAGTTATAAAAGATATTCGTATTCATCATAAAATTACAACTTTTCAGAACTTTACCCTAGTACTTCAAAATCACTCCATTGCTTTCTGATTGGCAAGATTTCTAAGGAGAAATCTGTCTTTTTTTTTCTTTCTTTCTGTATTTGTTCTGTCTTGCATATGACTGACTTCAAGATTTTCCTTTCATCTTGATTTTCAGCTATCTGAATATTATTTGTCTAGGTGTGTTTTTGTTTATTGTTTCTGTTGTGTGTGTGTGTGTGTGTGTGTGTGTGTGTGTGCCTGTCTTTGATATGTATCTGACTTTTCTTCACTTTTTGCATTCATTGCTTGGTTTTTCAGAATTAAAAAAAAAATTCTTAGCAATTATCAATTTAAATATTCTCTCTTCTCTTTCTGGAATTTTGATTTTATATATGTTCAATTATTTGACTACTTGATCTCCCCATCATCCCCCTTTCCTCTATATGTTTCAGCAATTTGTATTGACCTATGTTCAATTTCTCTCATTGTTTTCTTCAGCTCTGTTGAGTAGACTGAATGAGCTTATAAAAGGAGATAATCACTTATCTGTTTCTTGGATAGCATTTTATTTTAACTCTTTCTACTACTTTCCATCTCATTTCTGAAATTTCCTATGTGCTTATGTATATTGTTAGCCATTTCCCCTAGATTATTTTAACACTTTAATCATAGTTATTTAAAGGCCCTATGCAATGTCTGTGTCAACTCTCAGTTGAGTTCTCTATATTGTTTGATATACATGTATACATGCCTCAAAAATTTTAACTAAATGCCAGATATCTTGTATACAACAATAGCTACTGAAGGAAGTAGCATTTATGACTGGAAAAGAGTCTCTTTACAGGCAGGTAGCAAAGAGGATTGAATCAATATGGAAAAAAGTTGACCAGGATTTGGGGTTGCAGTTGCTATGTTTACTCTCCAAGTGTCAAAGGTGGATTTTCCTTGGAATTAGAGCTTTTCCCTTGGGTTTCAGCTGATTCTTTAAGCCTGTACCTCATTAGGAGAGTCTCTCTCCATGACTTCATCCTCTCCCAGTGGCAGACTGTTTCTGTTTGTCACTTGGTGCTTGCTAGGCTCACAGTCGTGGTGTGCATGCTTTGGAATGTTCTCTATTGTCCTTAAGTCCTTGCAGCTAGGTGAGCTCTTAGGTGTGTGTTTTATTTATTTATTATTATTATTAATTTGTTTTTGTTACAGATGTTTCTCCTTTCCCCCCCATTGAAACCCTCCTCCCCGTCCCCCCACCCCATCCCCAGCTTTGTTGTCTATGTCCATCGGTTATGCATACATGCATATAAGTTCTGTGGTTTATCTCTCCCCCCCCAGCCCCCCTCCTCTGAGGCTTGTAAATACCAGCCCCCAGTAGTCAATCCTCCAGGATCCACAGCAGGCAAGAGGCAACACGCAACAGAACAGTCTGGGAGGCACAGTAGCCTTATTTGATATACAGTGAGCTGCCTACACATCCAAACATCCCTCAGTGGGTCTAGAGGTACCAGACAGTTAAAATGGGGAGATAAAGAAACAACACCCAAAGGAAAGAAAAAGAGGAATCACCAGAAAAGGCACTATAGGAAATGGAAGACAGCAACTTGTCAGATAAAGGATTCAAAGCAATGACTTTAAGGGTGCTTAAACAATTTGGTGAGAACTACAAGCAACTTAATGCGAATTATGAAGAGCTCACTGGGAACTACTTCAGATTAAAAAAAGAGGTAGAAGCTATGCATAAAAATCAAGAGGAAATAAAGAATGACATAGCACTTCTGGAAAACAACTGAGGTGTGTGGTTTTGTCTGCATTCCTGTTCCCCATCTCAAGGCGGTGAAGCTCTGCCTATAGTGAGTCTTGTGATGGAGAAAGTTTGCCCCCTTTCCCAGGTGATAGGAGCATGGGAGCCTAAACTCAAGTCTGTTTCGTATCACTTCTCCAGAAGTAACACAGCTTTTTCTTTATCTTCTTTTACCAACAATCTGTCTTTATATGTTCCCAGGAAAGATACATTTTTCTATTCTCACAGAGGCTTAAGTCTTTGAAAAGTGCCTCTGGGAAGAGTTGCAGGGTTTGTGCCTTTTTCACAGGATACATCCTATCCTCCCAAACCTGCACTAGGAAGAGATGCTCTCTCTGGTCTCCTGCATCCCTCATAAGCGTTTTATTTTATTTGTGTGTGTGTGTGTCTAAAATGATGTTTTACAAAATATTTTTTAATGTGGCCATTATTGTAGGTGTTCCCCCCTCACCCCCGCAGCTCTTTGACCACCTCCAACCACCCTTGCCTCCCCCTCCCTTGGCCTTCACCAAACTATTTTCCGTGTCCATGGGGCAGGCATATATGCTCTTTAGCTAATCCTTTCACCATACGCTTTTTAAAAGCACCTGGTGGAAACTGATGGTAGTCTACGGGATGTGAACCCTCTTCTATCCTTGCCTCTCAGGGCTTGTATATACTATCACCCTAGCCCAAACTGTGTTTAGCAAATTTGTTAAAATTTTAGCTGATTTCTTCTCATTTGCTTGTCTTGCATTTCTGATTCCTTCTCATGTTCTGCAATCTAAGCAATCCATCTCTTCTGGTGGCAAGAGATGCGATGCTGTCCTTTCTTGAATTTCTGGCTACTTGTTATTTGCAATTTAGCTTTCTGAAAGAATTAAGAAATATTGTGTTTTTTTGTTTTGTTTTGTTTTTTTAGTTAATGTCTTTTTTCCCCTTAATTTTGGAGTAACATGGTATCTTAATCTTTCTACACTTCAGGAAGAAATAAAATTGGTACACTTTTAAAAGTTAACTTTATAAACATATACTATATTATATATATGTGTGTGCACACATATACGTACAATAAGCATTAATATGCTTTCAGAAGTTTCATATTTCACCATAACTAGAAATAAAGGTAAGCATTTCACAAAAAATATTTCAATCATTATTACCTACATTTGCTCAAACCCAGTTTTACATATTGTGCTTTTATTTTATTGACTCTACATTTCCAAATTTGTTCCTCATTCTTTGTATCTAGTAGAGAAAAAAAATAAAACAAGAGGCCCAATATTTAAAACGTGTTCTATTTTAAGCTAGATTTTAATGTTTCACAAAAAAAATAAAAAGAAAATCCTAGTTGTGCTAGCCAGTGAAATACAGGCCTTTAGTTCTTTTCAGAAACTGTCAACTCTTCAGAAGATTTGATGGGATCCAGAGGTCAGTTATTTTTCAACACCATATTTTCATCCTTCATTTCTATTAGTATCCTTTGGCCTGAAATTCTCTTTCAATTCAGGTCAGCTTCCAATTTAAGTTACCACAACTTGTTCTGATACGGTGACTCACGCATCCCTCACCTTACCTCTGTCAACAGCTGAGGGTGCAGGCCCTCCCTGGATTCATGGTATCAACTGTGTTCTAAGATTTCAGAGTCTTGAAAGTGTTTTTAGCTCTTCACACTACAGAGTTCATATGTAAATTATTCACTCTCAACGCAAAATAAAATTACACTTATTTACATGACAAATTTGATTTTTATCTCAATGAGATATTGATAAGAAATAGCTGGTAAATAGAAGCAGAAAATTCCCCCAGAACCTCCGGCATCTGTTTAATTAAGGTAAAAAGGAAAAGTGTGGGCATGTGAGGTGGGTATTCAGGGAGGCTTACATAGCCTTTTATCCTGGGACTTTGTTTTAGATGACCTAAATATTTGCTAATATTTGCTAAATATTTGCATAAGAGACCATTCTCTCTTATGCTCATCCTAGTTTGGATTTTCATTGTTTCTAAATGATGCATTATTGATGAATTCTCTCTATTTGTAAATTCTCAAATAAAGTCTTAATATTATAACCAGCATTCAGAAAAAGTAAGTCTAACACCAAAGTGCTATTAACTCATGGTACATCTATATATGTATTCTATTTTGATTGACAATCCCTTTTCCCAAATATTTAATTGAAGCACTAAGTCCACCAGGTATGATAATGGAAAACTATTTCAGCAAAATTGTTATATCCAGTCCTTTACTGCACTACTTCTTTTAATCTATACTATACAGTGCTTGATATTATTATATTGGTTTCTTAAAAATCATTTTAAAAAAGAAAAGTGGTCATCTTTCAAAAATATATATAATTCATTAGCTGGCTTTCTATTATTTTACTTACATTCTCAAGTATTAATACATAAACTTATGCAGCAAAGCAGATCAACATTCTGATTTCTTTGAAAAGTTATGAATACTTTCAAAAACAAAACAGTACTATTTTATTCTTTATTCTGTAGTGTTTTCACAACTGTTACCTGTAAGTGAAACAGATTTTCTCCCTCCCTATATCTTCTTCCATCTTTCTTTCCTTCCTTCCTTTTCCTCTGCTTTCCTGTTATTCTTCCTTTCAAACTTAGTAATTAATTGAAAAACAAATATAAGTCAGGTTGCTGTTGCTATTGTTGTGGTTACTGATTTAAGGAATAGAACTCTCTGTCCCCAAGATTTAACAAATTAGATATGAATTACCTAACATTGCCTCCAAGTTGATTATTTTCTGGGTATTTATACTTTCTAGTTCAATCTGTGATGTTGGCTTAGAGACAAGAACAGACGCTGACAAGTCCAACTTACACAGAGGGACCACTCTAGGAAGAAAGAACAAAAAGTAGGTCATTATACTAATCAACTATCTGATTCAAATCGTTGATCTAACTTGACTGACCTTGGGAAACTCACTTGATTGCTCAGTGTTTTCATCTGTAAAGCAGGAATAATTCCTAATCTATAGAGTTTTGTAAGGTTTGAATGTGTTTATAAATGTAATACAGTTATTTAAAAAAAAAATTTATCTTTATTATTTTTATTTTTTTTTAGAGAGAGAGAGGAAGGGAGAGGGAAAAAAAGCTAGAGACATCGATGAGAGAGAACATCAACTGGCTGCCTCCCGCATGCCCCCCACTGGGGATTGGGCCCACAACCTGGGCATGTACCCTGAGTGGGAACTGAACCGGCGACCTCATGGTACACAGGTCGATGCTCAACCACTGAGCCACACCAGCTGGGCAATGTAATACACTTACAAAGCATATTAGGCATTAAAAATGTAAACTATTATCATCATAATCCTATACTGAAAATGGCATCTAGAGAATATGAAAAGTGTGTTGGAATATAACAAGTGGAATTTACAGTGTAGTAATGAACCTCTAGTCTGAGTTTACATCTCTTTGGTCATATTCAAAGAAATAAAGTCAAATAATCTATCAAAAATTCTGAAGGGTTATACATTTTACCCTACTTACCCCTGAAGAGGTTGCTGGACCACCGTTTCCTTGATGTTAGCCTAAGTCATGAGACTTTTGAGTCAGAGATATGATTACCTAAGACACAGGAAGCACCCTTAAATATGTATGGTGACTACTTCTGCTTATTAGCACATGTTATTAGCACATGTTTGTAATATGCATTTCTATATTCATTCTATATATTTCAACAATGTTATGTTTTATAAACTTCTTTATCTAATACAGTATTTATCTCCAAAACATCAATGTTCTTACTTTTTATTTATTTATTTTTAATATTTTTTCTTCCTTTATTGATTTTTGAAAGAGAGAGGACGGGAGAGGGAAAGACAGAGATAGAAACATTGATGAGAGAGAATATCAATTGGCCGCCTCCTGCATGCCCCCCACTGGGGATCAGGCCCACACCCTGGGCATGTGCCCTGCCTGGGAATTGAACTGGTGACCTCCTGGTGCTTGGGTTGACGTTTAAGCACTGAGCCACACCGGCCAGGCTCACTTTTTAAAAATTTTACTTCCAAACTGTCATCAGTTGTATAACTTTCAATGCCCTTTGGTATGTAAATATTAAATAGAAATACTAATTATTCTTTGTAATATTATGTGAAATTTTGATGTACACAGTTTTCACTATATGTGTCTATTGAAAGAATTGCTAAATGTCTGGATGTCACAAATTGAAAAACACCATAATGAAGTAAAACATATTGTAAAGAGAAATATGATCCTAGACATACATTTTAGTCAATGTATAGACAAAGAAAGGAAATATCAAGCATATCACAACTAGTTTCTGTATCTGTGAGACAGGATACTTATTTTTTTAATATCAGAAATTTCCAAAACAACTGCTTCTATGGCTTTTATCAACAGATTGCTGTACTAGTTAATAGCTGATAGTTGTAGGGTAGTTAGGGGCTAAGTACTAAATAAAAATTTTGGGAATATAATATAATTTTCACTGTATATTCTACCATTCCCACTACCTCAGACTACTGTCCTACAGAAGATCAAGAATATTTTTTCAAAATACTTTTAAATTTGCTTTAAATTTAAAAATGCTTTAAATTTTTATAGAGAGAGGAAGCAGAGGGAGAAAGAGAACACTGATGTGAGAGCCAAATGGTCTGGCTGTCTCCTGCATGCCCCTACTGAGGACTGAGCCCTCAGCAGCCCAGGCAAGTGCTGTGACTAGGAATCAAACCAGAAACCTTTTGGTACACTGGATGACACCCAACCAACTGAGCCACACTAGCCAGGTCAAGATCAAGAACATTTAAATGAGAAAGTATAAAAATTAGTTCAAATATGGGAAATTGCATAAATGTTCTAACATGTATTTAAAAAGACTATTTTCACAGAACAGGATTGAGAAATGAAAATACCATTTTAATTTTCCACAATCCATTCCCCTTGACATAATACAGAACATACAGTCAATGTGCAAATAAATGAGGGTTTGCTAAAAAAATAGGAAATGTTGAAGAAATGGTAGATTAACTGAAGTGAGTTTGGGAATGGCCATGAAGCTTTATGTTGTGAATCCTTTGCTAGTGAATGAGTCGCGACATATGAGTGAGGTAGAAAGTCATGCAGATATTTGAGGAACACAATATATACATACATATTTTGAGATACATCTGCATGGAAAACTTGCCTGTAGTCTTCAAATGTGGGCTCAGAGACTCAATTAGCACAGGGAGTTCTGCTTTACATGCAGAAATGTTAATCACTCATTGGGAAATGAAGCATATTTATTTCAAGTAATATGTACACTTCAGCAAATTATAACTGAAGAGTGTAAAAATGAACATGTACATATCTGTTCTTTTTTGGAATAAATCATAATAAACAACATTGGGAATAAAAGATATAGGTAAGGATACATTTCTGTATGCCATTTGTGATACTGATTCCTTTGGAATTGGGAAACAAAAATTTCACAATTTTAACAGAAGAAAATAGGGAAACTTTTCAGAAAAGAAAACTTCACATGTTAAAATGCACACCATAAACAAGGACCTTTACTAAATCATAGGCATAAATGCTAATGAAAGAAGGTTCATTCGAAGATGAATTTGTTTCTATTCTAGCTGAATGGGTAGGTGTTAGAATCCCTATAAGAAAAGTCATTATAAAGATAAGTTGCTTTAAATCCCATGTCATTATTTTCATCATTCGTAAGTGCTATTTGAAGTTGCGTTAGTGCACATTTGCTTTGTTGATTTATTTTGCTATTTTCTCCCATGTAAGGGAATAAAACTGTTACAGATGATTCCCTTCGGCCATTTCAACATCATTATGTAACAGGATTTCAAATATAAAGAAGGGTACTGCTGCACCGGAGTGCGAGTCACCGGAGAAAACGAGTAGTGAACTGAGTGAGTGGGCAGCAGAACTGGCAACATCTGTGTTCACTGGTTGTTAGGGGCATCTTGGTTTCTGAAGTTATCATTAATAACAAAAAAACAGTAATTCTCTAAAACTGCAGATAGAGATGGGAAAGAATCCAAGAACATTTCTAATATATTGAAAAACTGCTAATGATGCGTGCATGATATGTGTGGGGTACTGCAGGCAGAGAAGTTAGGGGGGTGAACATTATTCTTGTCTATTACCATTAGCATCACCAGAGTTGTCAAAGCTTGTGTTAATATGCAAATATAAGACAATACAGATTTTAAAGGAAATACACACAACAGTGTGGGGTTAAGTGTAGAATTTAAAAAGGCCATACATACTTGTAAAATGTTTAACTTTTGAGGAAAATAAAATTACTTAAAGTAATTTGATAGTAACATGACTTCATATACATAAGAAAAATCTGACAGCATTACAAAGGAAAATATTTCAAATTGTTATCTGTTTTTCTTTATCTGTCCCCCACTGCCATACTGCCTTTCTGAACAACATTGAGCATATTTATTAATTTAACCTTTATGTCTGTGTGCCACTTTTCAGCTAATAGTCATCCTATTTAATTCTTCCAAACTCTTCTAGTCTCCATAGTAATTTTCTTCTATATATTAGACTTATTTGAAGTATGAGGGGAAAAACTCCTGAATACAAATCACTGTGTAGAAATTTGCCATCTTTGTGTTATATAAGTTTTTGAGTTTTTTTGCACATCCATTATCTACAGATTACAATATGTATAACAAAGACATAGAAATAAAAAGAGTCAAATATACCATCGGTACAAAGATCAATAGGCTATGAAGAAACATCACTTATTAATAGCTATTATAATGTAGGTTCTAAATTATGTTTTCTATATATTAATTTGAATTTCTTTCAAAATATAATATAAACATACTGCTATTTACATAATTTAACAGATAATGAAAGTTTACACGATCATGTCAAATGTTCAGTGACACAGTCAAAATTTCAAGTAGAGTATTCAGTACCTTTAATGTCCGCAAGAATAAAAAAGATGCAAATAAACATCACAGAAAATCCAGAGAAAGAGATCCACAAATGAATGAGTGACTAATTAATGGCACAGTAGAATTATAAAATTTAAATTTATAAAATTAAATTATAAAATGAGAAAAGGAGTCCTGGCCAGTTTGGTTCAGTGGTTAGAACATCAGCCTGCGGTCCAGAGAGACCCGGGTTCGGTTCCCGCTAAGGGCATGTACCTCAGTTGCAGTTTGTCCCCGGCCCTGGTTGGTCGTGCAGGTGGCAGCCACTCGATGTTTCCCTTTCACATCATGTTTCTCTTTCTGTCTCTCTTTCTCTCTCTCCCTCCCACTCTATCTGAACAAAAAAGGAAAAATGTCCTCAGGTGAGGACAAAAAAAAATGAGAAAAGGATATATTTGTTCATAAAGATAAAAGTACTCAAACAATGGTTTATATGAATTGGGAGAGGTATTATTATTAACTCAGACCAGACAAAAATTCCAAGAAGATCAAATGCCTCAAACTTCAGGTTTTTATCCTAGGGAAATTTTTCTTTAAATACAGAAGTGAAACCACAGAAATAGCATAAACAGTGTGAAACAAACAAATAAGACAGAAAGAAACAAACAAAAAAACAAGCAACAGACCGTGCATATTTACAATGTACGTAACTGGAAATGTTAGAAATATTAGATTACAAATGCTTTACCTATTTAACTACCCCCTCCAACCCTTGGCAACTATTGAGTTTTGCCTTTTCCAGAATGTCCTATTAATGAAATCATACAGTACATAGTCTTTCTAGATTGGCTTCTTTAATGTAGCAATATCATTTATGATTCATTCATGTCTTCTCATGGCTCATTCCTAATTATTGCTGACAAATACTCTACTTCATGGATCTACCACAGATTTATTTTTTCCATTTACAAACTGAAGGACATATTGATACCTTCCAATTTGGGGAGAGTGTAATTAAACCACATCTCTGCCCTTATATCCATCTCCATGTGGCTTTTTAGTTACATCCTTAGTTATAGAGAATCTGTTCTCCTGGTCTTCAGATAGTTCTCACAGCTACTTTCTCTATACATGCTTCACGAGAAGAGGTGAGCTCATGGTCTTCCTGCTCCACCGTCTTGACCCTGCTGCAGTCTATAGTTATTTGGGAAAATTTTCCAGATTCAAAAATATGTGCTTGGCCTTTACCTCCCTCTCCATCCTTATTTTGTGTGGCTTATCAGAGAATTGTGCACTGAGTGTGGCTTGAAGAACCTTAAGATGCTTTTTTGCTCTTATGACAATGACATCCCAGGAGCAGACAAAGTGAAACCCCAAACCTGGTACCAAGATATAGTTCTACTATAATGCAAGTTCATCTCCAATGCAGGCTGTGCGATTGGTTATTGTTCTTTAGAAATAATAATTCTTTATATTATCACAAGAATCTATATTCCAATATAAAAAGCACTAGAAATGCTTCTAAGGAGATGTGGATAAATAATTTGCCCCTAGTGGTTCTCATCCTATAATGTATATATTCTTCCTTAGTCTTCTGGTATTAGCAGCCAGTGAGATTCACAAGTCATCAATAATTTGAAACAAGTCACTCCCTGAAGTGAGATGTAAGATGCCTTCAATCACAATGTGCTCTCATTCACCCATGCTC